GTCTTATTGCAGTACATTTGGGATTTGAATCTACCCCCTAATCTCAGAATTGGATTTTATGGGATGGACAGTATTTATAATTGAGAATCTTAATAAAAACAAAGAATGTATTGTTAATTCAATAGAAAAGGTTGTGAGTTCCTTTTATATGTCTTTTTTTCTATTGAGGGTTACCAAAGTTAACAGATATTTTGAGTTAATAGAATATCTTTAAAGTTTTAGCATTTGTTAGGTTTATTACACAAAGCCTTGCAGATAGTATGTGCTCAATAAATGTTACACTTGATTTTTGCTACTGATGTGATAAATTAACAAGAAGAAAATTGTTTTCCTTTTAAGAAAAGGAATAACTCCCAAGATTTAGAAAATTATTAGTATCTGTAAACTGCTAAAATATTTTATGTTGAGCTTATTATAATAAATTTAGTGTACTGTTGAAAAAATATAGGAAATATAATGCAATGGCTTTCAGTCTTGAGAAATGGTACCTCATTATCCTATCTAATAAAAGACAAATAGGGTAATTAACCGTACCTCCAATACGCTTCCCATTGGCTAATCAGGACAATATGCAAATTAATTGCCAACCAAGAGGGCGGTTAACCGCCAACAAAGATGGTGGCTAATTTGCATACTGCAGGCAGGGCGGAACAGCGCCATCCCGCCTGCCCCGCTGCCATCCGGGCCTGCTATCTGCGACCCGGTGGGCAGGCGGCCCGTATGGGACCCACCCCAGGGCTGGCGGGCGGGACCACAGCGATCCGCCACCGGCCACGCCCACAAACGGCCCTCCCGCGGGGATTCGAGGCTGGCAGGTGCTAATGCACCGATCTGCCAACACGCACACCAGGGCCGCCTTTGCCCTGCGCAAACTATGCAGCTGAGAGAGGGGAGTGGGGCCGCTGGGAGCAGGGCGGGAACTGCCCGGGGTTTGCGTCAGGCAGCCCAGAGCAGAGTGTGAACTATCCCGACCAGTAGCTGCTTGCTCATTCACTTACTTGCTCATTCATTCACTCATTCACTCACTCAGCAAACCCTCTCAGGTCCCTGGCACCAGGCCAGGCACTGAAGGTGAAGCAGGATAAGACAGAGCTATGTCCTCAAGATGTTAGTAATTCAGTAGGGCGAAGCAGGCACATGAACGAGGCAGTTGTATGCACAGATACAGTGTACTGGGTTTGGTGAGGGCTGTAACTAACGCCAACTTTGTTCTCTTGATAAAATGGGGCCTCGGGAGCCAGGCTGCCCCAAGCCTGTAGGCCTGTGCCTAGGCCAGGAGTGGCCGGGGTCCCAGAACATGACAGAGGGTGCAGGTCGGGCTGAGGGGTCTGGCCCCACCCCTCACTCTCACCCCCGAGTGCACAAATTTTTGTGCACCAGGCTACTAGTAATTAATAAATAAAAATGGTTCTAAAGGAGATTAGAGATGAAGAAAGGAGAGGGAAATTGAATGTAAATTTCTTTAATTGTATAGTATAGCTTAATCAAAGACAATGTTTAACTTACAATAAAGAATTGAGATAATTGCCAGGCAGTTTTAATAAAATTGCACATTTTGTATTTCTAAGGTATGCCAAGCTCTGTCATATATATTTTTTCTATGAAAAACACTGTTTAGTAATCTGAATTCAGTGAATGATTGCCTATTTCCCTTTATTAGGGTGTCTTAGCCCAAATCAAATGGTTTTTAATATTGCTTAATTTAAAGTGATTGTATGGGAAAGCCACAAATCTGAAGTGGGGGGAGGGGTCTAATCTCTGGTTGCTCTTTTGACATTTTTAAGATTGTTTGATTTACCGATGACATTAAGTTCTTGATGGGAAGTGAAATGGCAAGTCAATAAAAATAAAATTTCCAAATGTCTTAAGACCATGTAAAATTGACCAAATTAGAAATTGGAGATTCATTTAATTAAACATAATAAAAAATATAGTGATCATTCATCACATGATTCAGGAATTCAGATCTTTAAAGTAAGTATAGTGAGACTGATTTTAAGTAGGAAGTTGGACTAGTAGGTGATGAAAAGATATAAACAACTACATCTGTAAGTCAGACGTTGCCATGTAGTCCATGGTTAATCATCCTTTGCTTTAAGCATGGGGCTGACTACAAGTCTTCAGGGTCTCTCGGTATAATTGCTCAAGTGTTGGTTTCAACTTCTTCCCAGTTCTAGTAGAACATAGCAGGTGGTGTGGTTCCTTTTCATGCCAGTGTAGTAAAAGCTTTTTAGAAACAGCAAAATAGATTTTCCTTATTACTCTTTCTGGGTAATGAGGAAAGAAATATTCAATGATTGTGTCAGGGGTGCAAGGAAAAACTTAATTGTAATTAATTTGCTTTGGGATATAAAAAATTGACTATCATATTTTATTTTGATCTTAATCCTTTTTCAGTATTATTTAGTAATGTAATGGATTAAATATAAATTTTTAACTATTACATTATCTTGCAAATAATAACAGATTTTGGCTCTAATTATAATATGGGTAAGATAAAAATTAAAATTGAAAAATGTGACATGAAGATACTCAATAATATAATTTGAAAAGCACTTTTTAAAAGTATTTAAACATCATTAACAGAACTGAGTTGATTAGAATTGTATCTTACTAGTAGCCCTGCGCACGAATTCGTGTGCCATAGCTCGCTGCCGCCCTCCAGTAGCTCTCTGCCTGCTGCCCTGCCCTCTTGTAGCTCCCCCCGCCCCCCCTTCCCCCACCCCCTCATAGCT